GAGGCACCGTTCAGTGCAGAATGCTGGAGCGTGACAGCATGCTCACACCAACATTCCAGATTTGGGGTGGGGCAGGGCAGCTGCAGGCTGGCAGCATGCAGGGCTGGATTAAGGGGGGGCTAGCCGGGCAGCTACCCGGGGAGCCAACCTATGGGGGGCGCCTGATGGCAGCTGTAAGGGGCGTTGCGCACCCGGGGCTGGGGGCCTCGCGGCACCCCTTAGAGCTGCAATCAGACGTCGCATGCCCGACTGCAGCTCTAACGTGCCGGGGGGCACAGGAATGGTTTGAGCTGGCCCTGGCAGCACGGCTAGATTCTGCCCTGGCTTTTCCAGCACACCTGTGAGTTCCCTTGTATCCATTTCTCATCCCCGCATTTTCCTCTCCCACGTGGATCCCCCAGGATCCCTTCTGTCGTAGCGCTCCCCGTGAACATGCTACAGAGCTGCTTCAGAAAGATTTACACCATGGACAGTTGGTGCAACTACAGCCCCGCCCCCTCTGCTGAGACCCCTGCCTCCCCAGAGCACCTGGGGAGGGAGGAGACCACATGGCTCCAGCCTCCCCAGCCAGGAGCACAGGGAGGGAGGGCAACACTCTGCAACACTCTTCCCCCAGAACACCTACATTCCGAAAAAATATATAAAAAAAAGACTTTTTTGGCCCTAACAGACTGCTGGCGGCCGCCCACCATCTTGCCTCCCTGAGCCAGGCCGGACAGCTCCCCTGCGGAACCCAGTAAGCACTAGGGTTGCCAGAATGCCTCCGTATTGAGCTGGACAGCCTGGGATTTTCACCTCCTGGCTGGGAAAAAATCAGAAAGTACATTTTAGATGTTGGGTATTTTCTGAAATTTTTTACCAGGCAGGAGGCAAAAATACCAAACTGTCTGGTTCAATATTGGACATCTGTCAATCCTACCTACAGCAGGCATTCTGGGGGGCGGAGTGTGGGTGGGGCCGGGCCTGGTGGTTTGGGAAGGCAATGCCTTCCCTGACCTGGGCTACCAGATATCTATGATTTACACAAACACAAGTTGCTCCTGGGGTACCATTTAAATACCATCCACATTTAGAGACTGTGTATCGCATACCCAGTAATGGCTGATCTCCATGGGAGATACCAGCCTACTGCTACTACTAGCTAGTGGAGTTATTCCTTTAGCTCAAGCAGCGGTGATCTTTACCGCTAGACCTGAAACTCATAAGTTTAAACCTTGCTAATGGACGATAACAGCGGTCACGGCAATTGTCAGTAGAAACACGCAACCCAACAAGACTCTGTTGAGTGCATTCCACTTGCAACAAAGCTGAGCTCATCCCAGACAGAGCCCCCTGGCATTGTCTCCTCAATGTGCTCTTCGCAGGCACCCAGCCCAAGAGAGCTTCCTGCAGAATGGTGATTAACTACTAATCTTATTTTTTTTCCACCCATAAATCAGTTACAGACCAAATATTTACAGAGAGGATCATTTCCTAGCCAAGCCAGGCTGGTGACAGCTCTCATTATTAGGAAGGATGAGTGATTTTGGACAGAGATTCCCTCCTCTTGCTCCGAAAAAAAAAGTTGAAATTTTAAAAGGATGAATGATGATAGCTGACTGACATCATCCATCTATCTCTTGGTGTCGCCTGGATTTGGGGTAGGGAGGCTGTAAACTGCTTGAGAAATGGGAACAGAGACAGGACCGGGGAAAGCTCCTGTATAGCTGTCTCTGTCTTCCTCCCTTCGTGAAGCTAACAAGCTGGAGGGGGATATATAAAGTCTTCAACATGATAAAAGGGAGCAAATCAAAAGCAAAGGAAGAAGGAGAAAGGAACCGGGGCATGATTAGGTAGCAGGCAAAAGGCAGTCATGCTTCCAAGCAACAAGGTAGTACTGAAACAGCAAGTACAACTCTCACGCTCCATAAGCCATCTTTGCTGCAAGGCTGCTCAGAGGGAGTCGCACCCTCGCACCTGGATCCTCAGCTGCATCGAGAGCTCAGGCAATGTGAGCAAAATCCATATCCCATCAGTTTTCAATGGGACTTGTGAAAACGTTCTCCAGAGCAAATTGCACATTGGAGATGAGGTCGGGAGAGCAGGGTTCCGTTCCCAGCTCAGCCATTGTGCTTGGCACGTCACTTTCCCTGGTTTTTTTACTTGTGTACTGTCTAGACCGTAAGCTCTTTGGAACAGGGACCATCTTTCTGTGGTTTACGGTGTCTAACCCCTTAGGGCCCCAGGCAATACTGCCGGGAAAACACCAGCACTAGCCTGGTAACTAGGGATGCAAAGGGTTAAGCAGGGAAACATCCCCCACCCGTGACATGGCGCAGTGGGCCATGCCTGGCCTGGCTGGAACAGCCCCCACCTGCAGCCCTGCCCAGTTAACTGGTTACACATATAGTTTAACTGGTTAACATTTTAAATGGGATTTTACATCCCTACTGATAACTGGAATACACTTGCTTCAGGACAGTATTTAAATGTAAAAAAACTCATAAAAATGGTTTGTCATTCCTCCTGCCTTTGATGTATGATATCAGAGTATAGGTGATGACTAGGGATGTTAGCTATTGGATAACAGAACAGTCGACTAACCATCTGAATTCGTAGCAGTTAGTCAACTATTCTATAGCCCCTGGGAAGCGGGACTGGCAGCAAGTGCAGTCCAGCCCCATCCCCAGAGAGTTTCCTGACACCACCTCTTGCCACTGCCGAACTTAATTCGAACTAGCGGAGCGCTTAGTTCGAACTAGGTAAACCTCATTGCACGAGGACTAAGCCTAGTTCGAACTTACTAGTTCGAATTAAGGGCTGTGTAGCCCCTTAATTCGAACTACTGGGAGGCTAGCCAGGGAAACTCTATTGCCCCCCTCTCGGCCCCGGAGCCCTTAAAGGGCCACGGGCTGGCTACACACTTTGTGCCAGTTGCAAGGGTGCAAGCACCCGTGCCTGCACAGCCTGCACCTGCCACACAATGAGCCAGCCATCCGAGGGCTCCCAGCCC